TCAATGTAGTATTTTCAGTGCTCATCAACATATTAGGCTTATTGACTAAATTGTTTTTGTCATTACTGCTTAGTAGATGTCATTTAAGAGTTATAACTTTAAGTTATCACAATTAATTTCAAATCAAATGAGTGCACATATAAAAACCTTTGATTTTTTTTTATAATTACATAATGTTCTTGGTTCTTTTTTCCACCAAATTGTAGATAAATCTTTGGGTATAATCTTTTGCAAACACACTGACAAGAACATTAAAATGGACACTAAATGAACTCCTATTATTTGTGAGTGGTTTGAAATTATGTCATGATTTTTCTTTTTCTTATTTTTTTTCTTTGTGCAACCTTTACTGTAGTGCCTTAGGTCACCACACAAAATTGATTTTCAATATTTTAGTCAAAAAAAACAGACATCAAAATTAAATTGTTTGAAGTGTTTAGCCTTTTAAATAACTAACCCTGTACCTGTGACTGCTTTGTCATTTGGTCAACTCACTTCATTATACTAAGACAAGAGGTATGTATCAACCGATTTCTGTACCTCTTCTTAATAAATGTAATTCACGTATGAAGATCTCTGAGGTCTTGAACGTGTGTTGGGATTATTTAGTTGCTCTCAAAGAGCAATTATGAAAGCTTTTCTAATTAAGGAAGTTTGCTTTGAGACCACCCACACATTCACCTCTCTCACACACTGGCCAGCAGGGGGCAAACTTGAGGCTTTGTTCTACTACTGCTCTTGCTGAAGATTGGGAAGTATTCATCTCTCAATGGGGGCTAGTGACAACTCTTTTGTCCTATCCCAATAGGTAGAAAACCAAGTTCTTGAATTTCAGATACATTGTTATTTGGCTAGCAATATACTTCAGGTAGTTTTTTCTTGATGTAAACTTTATCCCATAATTCTTTCTCGTTTAAATTAAATGTTAGCAATACCAGACAATTTTCAATTTAAGCTTATTATTCATTCTTGATTTCTGTGGTTATAAGGAAATTTTAGATATGTTTGCATTTACTTTGGGAAAAATCTACATCATTCTAAAAAGCATATAAAATATGCTTTGTACATATAAGACGTAAAATTCTTGTAAAAATTGCCGTTATCAATATGAGATTATCAATATCTTAGTCTTTAAAGGATGAACAGTAATTTCTTCTCCGGGTAATGATTGTTTTTCTCTTATTCCTGAAAATATATTGATGGTAGTTGCTTATAAATAAAATTTTGAATTTAGCCCTAATTAGTTAGAATTAATAAAGGTGTATTATGGTCAAGAATAAGAGTAGGCTTTGTGAATTTTTAGCAATGTATACATTTTATTTGAGAGGCAGATTTACAGAGGGGATTGCAGAGGGAGAGAGAGAGATCTTACACCTGTTGATTCATTCCCCAAGTGGCTCCTAAAGGCAGAGTCGAACTGATCTGAAAACAAGAGCCATGAGCTTCTTCTGGGTCTCCCACATGGGTGAAGGGCACTAAGCACTTGGGCCATCCCCTACTGCTTTCCTAGGCCGTAGGCAGTAAGTTGGATGGGCAATGGAGCAGCCTGGATTCAACTCAGGCCATATGGGTTGCTGTTCCTGCAGAAGGAGTACTATCCCATAAGCCACAGTGCTGTCAACCAGTGTATAATATTTATATAAATTCATTTAAACAACATATCCGAAGGTGAAAATCAAACCATTTTACATGATTTGTTCATTTTTCTATTTGTGAAATTCGTCATTTCTCTCATCTCCATAAACTGAGTTTCACTCCAATAAGGTAATCTCCTAAAACATCTGCATCCATCAATTTGTTTTAATACTTACTGTTATTCTCTTCCCACAGAGAAGAGAGAAAGAGAAGGCAAATTTTATAAATGGAAGTAGTGACTAAAGACATGCCAAGTGAAGAACACTGGGTATTTTATGTCTGCAGATGGACTAAATAATTTAAACAACTTGCCTAATATTTGAATAAAACAAATTGTGCTTCATTAAGATCGAAAGCTATTTGAGGAATTCTAATAAATGGGCCTTTGATCAATTTAAGAACTGGCAAGTTATCCCACAACTTATCATTCAGTATAAATGTTTACATTGTTCTCCAAATACTGCAAAAGAAGACTGAGGTTCAGGCCCTGACTTTAGCAGATAAAGTCTTCACCTTGACTGTGCTGGGATCCCATGTGGGCGCTGGCTCTCATCCTGGTAGCTCCACTTCCCATCCAGCTCCCTGCCTGTGGCCTGGGAAGGCAGTCCAGGATGGCCCAAAGCCTTGGGACCCTGCACCTGTGTGGGAGACCTGGAGGAAGTTCCTGGCTCCTGGCTTCAGATCAGCACGACACCAGCCGTTGCACTCACTTGGAATGAATCACCGAATGAAAGATCTTCCTCTCTGTCTCTTCTCCTCTCCATATATCTGACTTTGTAATAAAAGTAAATAAATGTAAAGAAGAAGAAGAAGGCTGAGGTTCAATCACATGGAATTCTTGGTTACTTTCTTTCTTTGGGGGAAGAGGATTGAATTTTTAAGATTTATCTATTTTTTTGGAAAGGCAGATTTACCGAGAGAAGGAGAGACAGAAAGATCTTCCATCTCTCGTTCATTCACCCCAAGTGGCCACAATGGTCAGAAGTGAGCCAATCCAAAGCCAGGAGCTAGAAGCTTCTTCTGGGTCTCCCATGCAGGTACAGCATCCCAAGGCTTTGGGCCATCCTCGCCTGCTTTCCCAGGCTACAAGCAGGGAGCTAGATGGGTAGTGGGGCAGTCAGGATATGAACTGGCACCCACATTGGATCCTGGTTCATGTGAGGTGAGGACTTTAGCCACTAGGCTATTGTGCTAGTCTCAGAATTTCTTTTTTATAATTGTAGAATTTACACATATCACAAGAAAAATAAATTAGACCATAAAATTGGCTTTGTTGTGGATCAAATTTATGCACACTGGAACTGGCATGTATGCTAAAGAACTTGAATTGCAGGTCTCAGCCTTTCCATGAACTGTGGTGCTTTAAAGGACTCCAGGCACGGCCATCTTGTGTAGTGCTTATGATGCCACCTCCCACTCCACATTCCACAGGGCTCCGTAACCCCTGACTCCAGCCTGGGAGGTGGTACATGATGACTCAAGCAGCTGAATCCTTACTGCTCTCGAAGGAGATCACGTTGGGTTTCAGGCTCCTACTTTGGGCTTGGTGGAACACTGCCTATCACTGGCATTTGGGAAGTGAGCCAGCAATCAGGTATGCTCTCCCCTCACCACCACTTCTTTCTGATAAATAATCCTTAGAGGCCTCTTGTCACAGACAGCCTATGCTCACGGGTCTGCACATGCCCGGAGATGGAGTTCCCTGGTGTTGCGACCCTACTTCAGCTGCTTACAGGTCAAGTGCCCTAGCGTTCCCTAACTCCATCCTTTCTTCCGTTTTCCTTCCATCAATGTCCAATTTAGGAACCTAATATTTGAGACAAATTGCACCTACACCAACACCTTTCCTTATTCTCCCCCTTTGTGCAGCTCTGTGACAGTCTAACTGATTTTTCATGGAATGACATTACGGACACAGAAACGGGCTCCTCGTGTTGAAGCACGTTTGAGGATACAGAGCATTGAGGACGGTTTCCCCAAATTGCCTCAGCCAGGTTTAGCCAGTTCACTAACGGTTCCGACAAAGGCAGTCCTCAGAATAAGCGGTGTGCTAAGTCTGACTGAAATTACAAATAATGCTTCTCCCGACGTAGTCCTGAAGGAGGCACTTGTCTGAGTCCAGACTATGCTGGGTCTGACTGTTCATCCCAGGGTTGGTGGCTGGCTCCTGGGGACAACAGGAGCTGCAGATGCCACATCCCTACCCAGGGACATGCCCGAGGCACCTGCTTGATAGCCGTCGGACCGAGAAGGTGACTGGTTCTGCTGGCCAGGAGGAAGGAGAAGACTCTGGACAGGCAGGCTCTGGTCTAGTTCTTCTGCACAAGAAAACTCCCGGGGAGGGGGTTGTTCTCTAACCGCTGTCCTGCTCTGCTCCCTGCACCCCCACACAGCGTACACACAGAGCAAAGTTTTACACGGAATGAGCTGGGAGTTGACGTAGACATTCTGCCACCCGCAGCTGGAGAGAAGCCCAGGAGGGAGTGAAGCAGGGACACGCGGAGGAAGAGCCCCGAGTGGACTCAGGGCCAGGGTCCTTGGGAGGGGCAAGTGTGGTGGTTCAGCCAGGTCTCCTGGCCCCAGAGCCAGGAATACATCCGGCGATTTCCTCCTCCATCCACCTCCGAAATCTCAATGAGGTCATAGCAATGAGAGAGAACCAAATTGAGAGAGAGGGGGAGGAAGAGGACAACGACGAGGAGGGAGAAGACACCCAGACAGAAAGAGGCCATCAGACAAGGTCGCTTCTCCAGGCGACACAGCGGCCGCCTGGAGCGTGGTGCTGAATTCCATCCGCCCGCGCTGCCTGGGGACCAGGGACTCTCGGAGGTACTGCGCGTTTTGCCACGAAAACAAAGGAGACGAGACGGGGGACAGAAGAGCTCCGGGGCATTTCCCTGTGGATCTCCGAGAGGCGCAGCTCCTCTCGCACGCACGGACTGAGAAGGGCACGGGTCGGGTCCCAGGAAGGTGCAGGCTAAGCCGGGTCCCGGAGGAGCTGCGGGCGGCGGCAGGACTCTGGACAGCGACCGCGAGCCAGGCTCCGCGCTCCCTGCACGCTCCAGGGTCGCCAAGAGCCGCGCCACCGGCGCGCGTTCTGCTCCTGGATCGCACCCGCGAGCGCGGCGCTAGAGTCCTCTGCGGTCCCTTTCTGGACGTGCCAGGGGGTTGGGGTAGCTTTTTCATCCCTCGACCTGCCAGTGAAGAGGAAATACCAGCCCTCGTGCATCAAGCTTCGCTGGTGAAGACAGAAAAGTTTTGCGATCTGGTGGGGGGAAAACAAAGAGGGAAGGAAATTGGAGGAAGAAAGAAGGTAGAAGGTTGCTTTTCCTCCCAGATCTGCAAGGAACGATGCCCGAGGAAGGATGTGCACCAGCGGCCAGATTATCGGGAGCCTCCTGGTGCTCTCTGTGCTGGAGATAGGGCTGGGGGTGTCCAGCGTGGCCGTGGGGGCGGTCAGCTTCAGCCTGGCCCTCCGAGAGCACAAGCCGCAGCTTGGAGACTCGTCCCCGGTATGGAGCGGGGTGTGTGTACGTTGAGCCATTTCACTCTCTCTTTACCTCTTTACGGTGATGGGTAGTGCGCGCGCGTGAGTCACTCCCTCCCTGGGATGCGAGATGAGAACCTTCTCTGGCTTGCATTCAGGTGCCTGTTGGCAAGCCAAGCTTCTGTGCATTGTCCTGTCTTAATTAGGGTCTTGCTAATTCTTTTTTTTTTTTCCTTTTGGGGGTGTGAGATCACCTTTTAAATGTAATTGTTTAAAGTTGGATGCAGGTGTCAGCTTCCATTGATTCTGCAAGGCACTGTGTAGTGGCTGGTTCAGAGGGCGCACCTGTCAAGGGCGGATAGACTCACTTAGTCTTTTGTTCCTTGTAACACAAGGAAAATCAAGATGAGAGCTACATCATTTGCCTGTACTGGACACAAGCGGAGACAGTTGCGCAGTTTTGTCTGGGTGACCCTGCCCCGAGTGCACCAAAGGCAATACTGACGTGACAGAGAGAGGGAGAGAGAAAGTAATGTGGTGAGGAGTTAGAGCAGCAAGTGCAAGCATTTCATAAGAAAAAAAAAAAAAGAAAGAAAAAGGGAAGAAACTGTACCTGCTAGCAGCTTTCCCTTGTCAGCTTCCAGGTGTTTCTTCTCTCAACACTCCTGTGTAAATTCTAGATAATAAGATGTGCTACAACCTTCTCATCCGGAGATCGGATGAGCCTAAAGGGCATCTGTAATGTAATTTTGTGTCTGTCGGCAGACTCAACAAGTTTCTTCTTTATTTACTCAAGGAAAGCCTTGAGACTCATTCCTCCCATCAAGGATAAAGAAAATAACTACTAATCTTGGTGTGGACCTAATTTTTGGAAAACAGCTTTTGCTTCTCTTGGAAGCTCTATAGCTACCATGTTCTCCCGGCTTTTCAGTTTCATCACACTTGTCAAGATAGCTGAGTAGGAGCTTGTCCAGACACTGATCATCCACAGGCTCATTAAGAGTCATTCTTAGCATACTTTAGCTTTAAGTCGCTGGAAGAAAATGATCATTAAGTGTTCAAGGCAAATCATTTCAAAGTAATTCAATGTTGAGGGATACTGTGGCCTCTGAAATTCAAGAGAAATTGAAAAAATAAACTTAGGTTGTCCATAAGCAATTTTAAAATATTTATCTTAAACAATAGAATGATGCCTACAGTAGCTTGGTATCATGTAAGAAAAATAATTCAATGACGTGCCTCTTTTTCCAGACTTTTTTGCATTATCTAGATGAGTTGTCATCAGTGTACATAGAGAACATCAAACCTTCTGATCAGTTTCACGCAAAGCAACTGAATTATTCCTGTCCACACGTTATGAGGAATTTACATTTTAGCTAACTGCTTAGAATTTGAAAAATGTACCTGAATTTCTGGTGAAATATTCTATTGTAAATTCACACAAAACTTCTTACTGAATTAATTACTTTAATCAACAATACTCAGAAAGTTACTCACCTTTATGGATTGTGTTTAGAAATGACATTTGTGAAGAAATACATACCCAGGAGTGATCTATATGTTCACCAAATTAGGATGGCTATCATTAGGTTTTGAAAATTATTCATGTGAAGTCATTTATGATATAATCTGAACTACCTTTTACGTATTTCAAGGCTAAGTTAATGCTGGTAATACTTTCTGAACTGAAAGCATTAGTCTTTTTAGCTTTGCTTTTATGGTTAATGTTAAAATGGAGCAATTTTTAACATTTAACCATATTCACTTCATATGTACATATTACAGACATAATGCTTCTACACTAATTTTTGCTTGAAAACAAGGATATTATTACCACAAAATATTGGATTCAGGGAATGACTGTAAAGTGAAGAAAGACGGATATATTGTCTTGTAGAAAGTATAAGTCAGTAAAGAAAATGTTTGTAACTCTGTAAAATGAATAAGAAGAATCCACTCATTTCATACTATATTCACTTTCACATGGGTCCACCTTACTTCATTTATCACAGTTCCATCCAATTTGTGACAAATGTGAAGAATTCTTTTTTACGTCAGGAAAGTCTTTTATATGGATGTGTAATATTCCACCACATATTTACCATGGATCCTTTACCCAGGTGTCAGCTGTTGGACATGTAGGTTGATTCCATTGAAGCAATATTTATAGAGGAGTTATCATGTGAAAGAGATTTACTGTAGAGATTAGCCATGGCAAACCAGATCACTGACCTCAAAAGTTCCCTTCCCTGTAGAGGATGCAAGAAGGACTTTCGCAACATGAGAAGTTAGATTGCTGCCTTAGAAGGTTGAGCAGGTCAATGAAGCATCCTTCAAATCATTATGACTTGATTCTTGATCTTGAAAACTTGCAGGGATTACAAGGTGGTAGTCTGGTGTTAGATTATTTGTTGCAGATTCCAAATCTACTGCTGACTAGTGAATGACTTGTCTGGTAAACGAGGTGGTAACAAGGCACAAAGGAAATCATGCTGTAAGTAGAGTGTGTGACATGTTGTAACATGCTCAGTAAGGATGTCCATACTGGCAGTGGATGAAACCAGAGAGGAGAACAGCCTTGAGCAGCATAAATGAAAGTGAAGTGATGGGCCAGGGTGGCACACCCTCCAGGAAGCATATGGTGTCTGGGCGAAAGATAGAGTACAGGGGGGTGGTTAGGACCAGGTAGTGGGAGAGGGCATGCTAGGTTAAGGCAGCAGGGTCATCACTCTCCTATTTTTAATGGTGGTAATACCTGTTCTTGCTTCTCGATGAGACTCCAGGGAGATATAGAGCAAAAACATATTGACAATGATCTCTTTAGTAGTTTCTGGGTTAAAAATTTGTATTGCTTATGAATATCAAGTGGTATGTTAAACTAATTAATCTGTTGATACACACATAGCCTATGCATATGTGTGTAATCATACTATTTTGTTTGGTGGTTGGACATTTTTCAGACTATAATTTCTATCCCTTAAAGTATAGTCTTTGGTTGGACATTTTTCAACATATGAATGGCACTATTATAAGCTTTCTGAGATATATTTAAAATCAGTGGAAATAAGAGGGATACTATTAAGGAACTATGTCACAAAGGGGCCATAAAATAATACACAATAAGGTGTTTAGAATACTCTTCTGAATATTTCACCTCAAACATGCAAAATCAAAAACAGTGGCTTAAAAACGCAGCACCAAGACAAAGGTCTTAAGATGCATGAGATAGAGGCTTCTATTGACTATTTTCAGTCTTTCATAATCCAGCAGGGGTGTTTGCTGTGATCAATCTAAAAAAAATGTGAGCAATTAGAAGAAAAAAATCATTTAACAATAATTCATAGGGAACAAAGTTGTACATGTCTTCATAGCGTGTTTATTTGTTGCAGCTAATATCAAACCTTACAATCAGAGAGCAAATTCCAAAGACATGATAGGCAACAGTGAAACACCCACTGAGCAAGTTGCAATGGGGAAAGCGTAAATATGTTAAATGCAATTGATCGCAAAGATTCCGTGACCTGAAGTTAGTTGCACAGGGTTCTGTCTCTAAGTTGGTGTGTGAAAGTCACTTTTTGAAGGTTCAAGAATATCAACTGTAACAACAAAAACAGGAGTGAACAGTATATAGACTCGTGAATTCTTGAGAATTTTATTTTGTTGCTCTAGAATAGCTTTTGAGAATCTGCAGTTTGAGATGTTGTTAATGAAGATTTTGGCTGAGCTGTATTTATTAACACCGTACTATGATTCCATGTATCTACACTTGATCATCATTCTGTAATACTTAACTGACAAAAAACACCTTTCTAAGCCTAGTTCTCCCACAAATAAACCAGAAGGTTGTCTTTTAAAAATATTCAAAATTCTTCTTGTCCAAAGCACCTAAAGCTGAATAATTTTATTGTTTATTCTTATAGGGTATACTTGGTTTGTACAGCATAAACATATCTGATGAATGAATCTAATGTTTTCCTTCAGTGAAACTGGTAACATCGTTAAAGCACATACCTATTCTGTAGATTCCTGATTCACCATGGCAACAAATCCACCAATTCTAAGATGTTGCTGGATTCATCCTATACAATCAGATCCCTATCACAACAGCACAGTTCAGTGCTGCTTGGAACTGAAAGCTAGCTCAGGTGTTATCTATACTATTTCAATCTGTCAGATTCTTTTAATGAAAAATAAAGAGAAAAAGAAACCTTGTAAACAATTGTTTGGAAGAATTCGTAATTTGAGCTCAGTATCTCTAAATAGAAAATACAGCATTTTTCTCCAGGCTCAAGCTATGTAACATAAAATATATGCATCCTTTACCAAGAGATAAAAACACTTCTCCTAATCTCAAAACATTGCAGGTGAACATGTCTGCCCCATTTATAAGTCATTTTAATTACATCAGTGCTTCATGAATACTTGAATATTCCTTAAAAAATGTTGTTTTAAATAATTAAAATTAAAGTTCTTATCTTGACCATCTCATTAAAATTAGCCACCATTGTATTGTTACGATTCCTTGGCATGTCTTAATATCTGAATGGTTTTATTTTGGGCAATATCCCAACTAGCAGATCTGCAGAGACTCAGCCAGAATCTCTTCCTTGTGTGACTCACACTTTGAATTCTCAAATGATGTTGGTTATCTCCTGAACTTAGACAATTAAATATGTTACTTAGGTACTCCAAACAACTAGGAAATATAGTTATCATCAAAAGAAATACAATTATAAACCCATCTTCAGTTGTGATTTATCATGGTATAACAGAAAAGTTGAGAATTTTATGAGACCCAGTTTACAGTTTTGTGAATTATCTTGCAAGATTTTCTTAGTCCAGATTCTGGTCATTTCTAATTAGAAACTGTTGAAATATCAGTCCAGAATCCATGACAAAATTTCCTTTGGAATTTTCATACTTCTCCTAAAGTGGAACTGGTTCTAAACTCTCTCCCCCAGAAACCTAGGAGGAAAACAAGTGTATATTCCCTTTACCTGTCTGTTGGCAGTGTACTTCACAGAAACAGGATGCAAAGAAGGA